AACATAAGGTAACCAAGAGATTTATCTAGTGTGGTAATATTTGCACACATTGTTGTTTCATATTGTTTATTATTTATTGGGGAAGGGGCCCGGTGCACCCTTCTTTTCAACATGCCTAACAATCTCTTTCGATGCAGGCTTTGCGCCGGCACTTTTACCAAAAGAGGGAATTTATATCGACATGAGGCTGCCCACGGACGGACACGCTACCAATGTTCTGTCTGTGGGCGGTTTGGTAATTATATATTTATATACTATATACATGTGATTATATAGCTATTATGACAGTTAAACCATCATTTGCACACATTGTTGTTTAATATTGTTTATTATTTATTGGGGTGCACCCTTTTCAACATGCCTAACAATCTCTTTCGATGCAGGCTTTGTGCCGGCACTTTTACCAAAAGAGGGAATTTATATCGACACGAGGCTGCCCACGGACGGACACGCTACCAATGTTCTGTCTGTGGGCGGTTTTACTCAAAGAACAATGCGCTCCTGGTCCACAAGAGGAATGTACATGGAGAAGGTAAATGATAAATTATTTGATTGTAAATAGCAGACTTTCATGTTTTATTCTACAATTCCGATACAGTTTGACAAAATTTTAAATTTTAAATCTTATTACAATTCATTGTACAATGTTTTGGTGGCGCCAGGTACTGAATAAAAAAGATATGTTATAGACAAGTCTATACAAACTCAATATACAAACAATGAAATTAAAACAGATGAAAACTAAAAACCAGCACTAAAAAAGTGATACATGGGATTATATATATTTTGACAGTTAAACCTACAATGTTGTTAAGCAAATGTATCATTCGGCATGTTTTTCCTTCATCTCAGAGCCTATACCAGTTATCACAATCAGTGATGAAGTTTCTGTTTCCATTTTTACTCAAAGAGCGATGCACTCCTTGTGCACAAGAGGAATATTCATGGGAGCGTAAGTGATAAATTACTTTATTGTAAATAGCAGACTTTCATATATTTTATTCTACAATTCCCGTACAGTGTGCCAAAGTTCAAAATCATCTTATAATTAATTGTACAATGTTTTCTAAGCTAATATATGCTGTCTTGGTTTACTGTGAAAATCAGCAAAAGGCATTTTTTCTGATCATTCGTACATATATGCATTGACTCTGTGCACTCACTGCATCACTCAAGCACTGCACTGTAGCTAGTTGGTATCAGGCCTTGCTATATGCACAACAGGGTGCGTGTCAGATCATATAGCTTACAACTAACTAAATATAAATTAATTCACATATACTTATTTTTAATAGAATATTTGTCCAAACTATCATGACATTTGCTCCTGGTCCACAAAAGAATTATTCACGGAGAATGTGGAGATAAATTGTTTATTTAAGGAGCCATTTTGGTCCTCTTTAAGGTGTTGAAGTATCATGCTCAAAGGTAAATCATAAATTCTTTGATTTTACATAGAAGACTTGTTTATATATATTTGGATTGTGATTTCTCCCAGCTTATTGCTGCTTTCAATAGTGGCTTTATGGCAACATAAGGTAACCAAGAATATTGTTTATTATTTATTGGGGAAGGGGCCCGGTGCACCCTTCTTTCAACATGCCTATAACAATCTCTTTCGATGCAGGCTTTGCGCCGGCACTTTTACCAAAAGAGGGAATTTATATCGACACGAGGCTGCCCACGGACGGACACGCTACCAATGTTCTGTCTGTGGGCGGTTTTACTCAAAGAGCAATGCGCTCCTGGTCCACAAGAGGAATGTACATGGAGAAGGTAAATGATAAATTATTTTATTGTAAATAGCAGACTTTCATGTTTTATTGTACAATTTGACAAAATTTTAAATTACAGTTTGACAAAATTGTAAATCTTATGACAATTCATTGTACAATGAATTTTCAGATTCCCCTAGAACTACCGTCATGCATGTCGTTGACTGTAAAGGAGTATCACATTTACTTTTTTCTTCTGCAACTATTGCAATTTATATATGCATATACAGCTATTTGAAAAAAAAGTTGTCCTTTGTAAACTTTAAACGTATGCAAAGCATAATGGGGAGCATCTTTTAATCAGTTTAGAAATCAGATATGGCACTCCCCATTTCTTGGAAACATGGTAAATATCTCCTTACAAGAACAAATCATTTACAAATAGCAGCAATATTCAACTACTAAGCTTCAAACTTGTCCTTCCATTAAGCTTTGCGCACTTAGAATTTAAGGTTTATCATCTCCAGTGTGCGACATCTATAAGTACTATATAACTGCGCGTCTTGCGGTTGGCGTACATGTTGCCAAGCAAACTTCATTCTGCATGTTTTTCTCTTATAGCTATTCCTCATGTAATCGTAATCAACGATGATGACTAAGGTACGTAATGAAGTAAGATACCTGGTATATTATTATGATCTGGGTGCCGGGTATGCGCCAACATTTTGACAAACAAATTTGAGGCACAACCTTCTAAATCATGAATGACCTGCCAGGCAGATTTCGGTACCGGCTGTGTGCCCGCACCTACTCCACTAGAAGTAATTTATACCGTCATGAGGATGCCCACACAGGGATACAATACCAGTGTTCTCTCTGTGGGCGATTTTATACCAGGAGCGATGCGCTTCTCAAACACAAGAGGGAATACCTATACCAGAGCCTATACCAGTTATCACAATCAGTGATTAAGTTTCTGTTTCCAGTTTTACTCAAAGAACGATGCGCTCCTTGTGCACAAGAGGAATATTCATGGGAGCGTAAGTGATAAATTACTTTATTGTAAATAGCAGACTTTCATATATTTTATTCTACAATTCCCGTACAGTGTGCCAAAGTTCAAAATCATCTTATAATAAATTAATTGTACAATGTTTTCTAAGCTAATATATGCTGTCTTCTTTTGCTGTGAAAATCAGCAAAATGCATTCTTTCTGATCATTCGTACATATATGCATTGAATGACTCTGTGCACTCACTGCATCACTCAAGCACTGCACTGTAGCTAGTTGGTATCAGGCCTTGCTATATGCACAACAGGGTGCGTGTCAGATCATATAGCTTACAACTAACTAAATATAAATTAATTCACATATACTTATTTTTAATAGAATATTTGTCCAAACTATCATGACATTTGCTCCTGGTCCACAAAAGAATTATTCACGGAGAATGTGGACATAAATTGTTTATTTAAGGAACCAATTTTGGTCCTCTTTAAGGTGTTGAAGTATCATGCTACAAAGGTGAATCATAAATTCTTTGATTTTACATAGAAGACTTGTTTATATATATTTGGATTGTGATTTCTCCCAGCTTATTGCTGCTTTCAATAGTGGCTTTATGGCAACATAAGGTAACCAAGAGATTTATCTAGTGTGGTAATATTTGCACACATTGTTGTTTAATATTGTTTATTATTTATTTGGGAAGGGGCCCGGTGCATCCTTCTTTCAACATGCCTAACAATCTCTTTCGATGCAGGCTTAAATGCGACGGTACTTTTACCAAAAGAGGGAATTTATATCGACACGAGGCTGCCCACGGACAGACACGCTACCAATGTTCTGTCTGTGGGCGGTTTTACTCAAAGAGCAATGCGCTCCTCGTCCACAAGAGGAATGTACATGGAGAAGGTAAATGATAAATTATTTGATTGTAAATAGCAGACTTCCATGTTTTATTCTACAATTACTAAGTTGCCATTTGTTGAAAACGTGCTGGCACATTGACAAACAAAACCGACCGAACATCAACAAAACCGACCGACCGGATACTATTCTACCATCTGATTTGGCTCTATGCCATGATGAGAGCTTCCAATTAGTTCACCCTCTGTTGTTAGATACTTGAGGCTGGTGAGAGGGTAAATCGCAAGTTATTTGATTGCAGATAGCAGACTTCCATATATTTTATTCTACAATTCCTGTACAGTTTGACAAAGTTTGTCTTAGTTTGTGTGTCCCAATGTTGTTGTTTTTTGTTTCAGAACATATCAAGTCTTGAGTTTGAATTTACCTTTCTGCCCAGTTTGTTTTATTCTACGTTGTATATTCCTTATACTGTTCTCATCTAGAGCTGTGTCTGAGAAAATTTATCTGCATGCGTGTTATAAGACTTACGTGATCTATATTTTTTTCAGCCCGTCGACAGAGACGACTTATTGGTAATTATATATTTATATACTATATACATGTGATTATATAGCTATTATGACAGTTAAACCATCACTTGCACACATTGTTGTTTAATATATTGTTTATTATTTATTGGGGTGCACCCTTTTCAACATGCCTAACAATCTCTTTCGATGCAGGCTTTGCGACGGCGCTTTTACCAAAAGAGGGAATTTATATCGACACGAGGCTGTCCACGGACGGACATGCTACCAATGTTCTGTCTGTGGGCAGTTTTACTCAAAGAGCCATGCGCTCCAGGTCCACAAACGTAACCTCCACGGTGAAGGTAAATGATAAATTATTTGATTGTACACAGCAGACTTTCAGCTAGGCGCCCATATATATAGCTCTAAACTAGATTATAAAGTCACTACAATTGTGCCAAAATATATATAATACCACAACAATATATATAAACGCATGTATATAAACATATATATAATTACCACACTGCACAGGTGTGCACCGTTCTGGGCGTCGTTCTGCATGCCGCCGCACACCTGTGCAGTGTGGTAATTATAGTATGTTTATGTACATGCGTTTATATATATTGTTGTGGTATTATATATATATATATTGTTGTGGCTATATAATAGAGCAAATTTTAAGCACACCCTTCTACCAACAAATCATGCCTAATTATGGTTTCCAGTGCCGGCAAGACCACCGCCGCCACCACAACGACCAGAACGGCGCGAACCAGAACGGAGCCCAGCAAGGCGAGAACGGCGTCCAATACGAAGTGCCAATTACTTCCACACACTGATCCACTTTGAAATTTAAAGTGTTTGTAAGCTGAAACTTAGCGATGTTTTAATCCCCCTGATTTATAAAGGGATCAAAAATTTCTTACTGGACCTCTAGCAAGAACAGTTTAGAACTGATAGAGCTATCTATTGTGGTCACCAAACCTCAAGTGAAGATGTGTAAATTAGGTTTATTTTAGGATGGATGTGTTCAGCTCTGGAATACTTCAATTACAGTGCCCATTGGTCTTTCAGAAATATCTAGTGCAGATTATGTTTCACTCTTTTTTTACTGTGATTAAACAGTATAGTAATACAATACAGAAGATATACTTGTAATTTTTATGTGGTTTACTAAGAAATTCATACCTATCCTCACATTTTTTTTAATCATCATGCCAAACCAGCTGGAGTTTGCAGCACTTTTTCAGCAAAAAGATTTGAAGCAAAGTTTTGGAGATGGTGTCATATGAATATCGTCAACAAAAGACTAACAAAAACTTTCCAATTGCCTATGTCATCCAGAGTACAGAACAGACCTCCGAAAACTGCAATCATGTCACACTATCTAAGCATTACGCAGGTAATGAAGTGTAAAATGTATGTTACAGGTACCGGTATATAAAAGCAAGAACGTTTCCATTATCATTTCTGTTGTAGGAAGGAAATGTTTTGATAATTTCAATGTCTACCCTATAGGCAGAAAAAGTGTCAGGTGCTGGCTTTTACCTATACATGCCAACCCTGCTTTATCCATGTTGTTGTCAAAGTAAAACAACAGAGTTAGTGCAATCAAAATTGGCAAAACAGACTGTACTGAAAATTTAAGCAAATAGACCAATTGCTCCTACAGTTACCAGGTCAAAATTGCATGCATGCATGCATTAAGAGAAACCGGAGTTCATAATTCCATATTCCGCAGTAGCGGTTCATTTTCCCACCGTCTAACATGTCATGTACGAGATTATTTAAAAGGCCAAGTAAACGAAACATGCAATCACCATCCGTGACATTTGACTGCAATTACCATCAAACTCTCATGCACAATTATCAACTTTAACTGGTTCAATTTTTACGAGATTCGAGGGTATTCGTTCCGCAACAGTAACATGAGGTCAATTTCCACCAGCATCCGTTAGGCAGATCTTACAAAACGGACCAAAATGAGCACTTGATTTTTGAATCGATTTTGTTGGAATGCATTTTTTGTGCAAATTTCCCCCCGTTGTCTAAATTGATTTTTAAAAATGTTTGTTTTTCAATTATTGATAAATCACCTTACACCACATTGGCCATTATTGTTTCTGGGCTTAAAGTCTGCAAAAATGTTCATGGAAATTGACCACATGTTTGCAAAGCTAGAGCTGCTCTCATTTATCAATTCATTTCTAAAAATAATCTATTTGTCAGGAGGGATTATGTAAATCATGGATAATTTTCAGATTGCAAAGTCATGGCAATTGTAAATGTTATGAAACTACAAATTGCCATGTATAGTTTGTCAACTAGAAATCGCATTTCCAATTTTGCTGTCAAATTAAAAAACAAACCGAACATACTAGCTTCTATGTTTGAAGAAAAATTAATCCGTATAAATACATTGAGTCAATGAGAACAGCCCTAAATGAATTTAAATATTGAGCATACCTCTTGATGATCAGAGAAATAAATTAATACACAGTACCGTTCTTCAGCAACACTTTCAAGATCAAATCAATTTTCGTATGATTACCATTTCTGTGTTGGTTTGAGCAGTGTTGTTCCTTCATTTAACTGGCATACATCTGGTGCTCAGGGAACTTAAATCACTTGCTGCATGTGAATCCAAGCCCATTAGTTATAATGTCATTTATTCACAAGTTATCTTCATGCTGCCACTGGACCAATCTCTCCTGGGGGCATGCAGCACTGTTTTGGTTAACAGAGTTCATGTCAGTTGTTCACTCAGCGAGCCATCGTTGTTACAGTGACACAACCAAGCTCCGACATTGATGAACCTCAGAGAATTTTTGCTGTTCTCTTATGGTAACAATCTACAAACACACAATATAATCATTAGAAACTACAATGCAATAAAGATTCAGGTGGTATATTAGAGAGGGAGAGGGGGGAGACTAAGAGTGCTGAAAACATTGAAGTATAGTCTTATTTGCAAGGTAGCAACTTTGCAACACACCACCATGTACGTGACAATTTAGTCAAGGCCAATGTCTCTGCAGCCACAGCTAATACCCTGCATGTGGCAGGTTCTAACTTCAGCCATCATCAACAGAAATATAAACATATGCAAACAGGAAGACGGTTCAGGAACACTAACACAGTGTGAGCCAATTACGTCGGTGACAAAATTTCTTTGTACTTGCAACTCTACTTAATTAGCTGCACTAATTACTGCCTTTGCCGTCAACAAATCATCGTCCACTACTCCTGTAGCAGGCTCTTCAGATGCTGACACAAAGGTTAGAATCACACAGACTCTAATTATAACAATGGTGGCGTACTTTCATGAAGCACCAGTATTGTAAATTAAAAACACTTCCACCACCTTTAAAGGAATATTCAATTGAATAACTATTTATGCAAAGCTATTTAACTTACCATTGTTAATGAATGACTGCATAATAAAGGTGCACAGATTTCAGGTACATTTTGCTTCTTTCTCCATGAATTGTTTGTATTTAAACTGGATAGCCAACCATTGATGAAGTTGTCAGTCAGAATTAATTTTGCTTCTTCCTCCATAAATTGTTTGTGTTTAAATTAGATAGTCAACCATTTATGCCAGTGTCAGTCAAAATTAATTTTGCTTCTTTCCCCATGAATTGTTTGTATTTAAATGGATAGTCAACCATTGATGAAGTTGTCAGTCAGAATTAATTTTGCTTCTTTCTCCATGAAGTCAGAATTTATTTTGCTTCTTTCCCCATGTTTAGCACCTGAAATTAAGAATCTCTGATCAAGAATTGTCATATAGTGGTACATTGTACATAATATTGCCCATTAGGTCAAGTAAAATATTCACAGTTTCTCATCAGCTCCTGCATTAAATAACAGCCACTGCATTTGTATTTTTTTATAAATAACTACATAAATTATTTACCAGTATAATATTTTATGCAAATGGCCACCAAGTTGTCCTCATGTTTTTTTTATAAATATTGTAGTTTAAATAAATATACATACATGTTTTTTAGTAATTAAACAAAAAAAAGCATGGCACATTTGCATTTAAAAAAAACGTCTGATGAGAAACTGGGAATTTTTTACTTGGCCTTAGTAATGCCAACTACAGGGTGATCGAACATCCCTCCAGTTTGCTTCAAATACAGATAAGAGAATAAAGAAAACACAAGCTGTTTTAATTTATAACCAAAAATGTTTTAGAGCATTTGGTGCTTTTTGTACCTATTGTCCAACACAGGTTATCAGTGTTAACATTGAATGGTCTATTATGTCTATTTAAAAAAGTACAGTTGAACTTTTTGTCAGCTTTTATTTGTTCTTCAAAGTGAGTTGACTTGTGTCCACCACATTTTGATAATTTGATAATTTTAAAATTGAATTGTTCATTTTTAAAATTTGAATGTTGTAATACATTGTACATAATATTGCACATTATTATGTTGTCAATTTAATTGGTAATTTAAAGAGTGTGTTAACTTTTTATGCTGGAGTATATTAAAGTCGATGTTCAACAAGTCATGTATTGGCATTAAAAATTGAAGACTATATAATTTCTTTACAATTGTGGTTCATGGTTGTTGATCATGTGTCTTTTTACAGTGTGCACGAGGCTTCCCAGATACAGGACACACAATATAAATGACATGTTGGTTGTATAGGAATCGTGTGCAGTTAATTCAGGGATGGTTTCAGAATTTTAGAAAGACTTTGTCAAAGTGTACAGGAGTTGTAGAATAAGCTGCATGATAAAAGCATAAAGTCACTATTTAAAGCAGCAATAAGCTGGGAGAAATCACAATCCAAATATATATAAACAAGTCTCCTATGTAAAATCAAAGAATTTATGATTTACCTTTGTAGCATATGACACTTCAAGATCTTAAAGAGGACCAATATGGCTTCTTAAATAAACGATTTATCTCCACCTTGACCATGGATAATTCTTTTGTGGACCAGGAGCAAATGTCATCTTGAGAATTACTCTGTGCACACACACAACAGGCATGTGTTTAAAGGCAGGGCCCAATTAATAGGAACCAATTAGGTCTGTCTATCGCAGAGAAGGGTGTGCTTTTCTTCCGACTTGTCCTTGTGTGTGTTCCTCCATTGCTGATGTTGTGGATTTGTGGACTGAGCTGTCATGTCGTCTGAACAGTTCACAAGCACTGCAGCTAGTTGGTATCGGGCCTTGCTATATAAACAACAGATGTATAAACAAATAAGAAAACTTTATTTGATATATTTATTCTAGATAAGAAAGTTACAACTAAGAGGGGGTAAATTATTGGCACATTTTCATACTCCATATTCCATAATATAATTATTTGTTCTTTGTTCAGTCATCTTTTTATTAAACATTTTTCTATCCTGTTTCCAATTGCATGTATTATATGCTTGAAGTGCATTTAATATATGTTAAGATGGAGTAATACAGTCAACAAAATTGCTGCAACTTGCAACAAAATCTGATTTCTACAGTCATTTTAGTATTGTTTACATTTTTTCTTGTTATTGTCGCTACTTGACAGGGTTTGAAATAATGTCAAATTTTGTAGGCTGTTTTTCGTAGGTGAAAATTGTTGCCAGCTATTTTCCAAGCGAAGTTTAGTTATGTTCTGGAGTAGGCATAGGCCAAATAATAGTGATGTAAACCAACACAACATTTGTAAGAACGCAGTAATACATTTTATTTGGTGTTATTTCGTGGTGTTATTGTAAGCGAGTCATCGATGAATAAATATAATATTTTTTAGTCAGAAGCCGGCAGCTATTTCGAACCCCGCTTGACATGCACATCGCGGCATGCATTCGTCTTCCAACTAAAAAATGACTGTAGAGTCCCTTTAACATGTGTTAAAATTAGGTTTTCTTACAAGTCACAGCAATTTTGTTGCTTGTATTACTCCAGCTTTAGTGCTGGAGCCAGGCTTTTTTCAACACCATTGGGTGTTAGGAGAAATGTAGGTCCCATGTTATAGGTGGGGAGGCAACATTCTTCTTAGAAACACAATTTTGAATCCTACATCCAGTAAAAAACTGGAGATGGTTGGGAGAAGTGCATTTGAACTTGTGCGCACAAAGCAGCAGTCATGACCAACTTCAAAGTTGAAATATGGCAGCCAAATGAGCTTCATTCTTTTTATTACACTGTGCTATTATGTACAGTACAATGTTTAACAAAAATATTTTTTCAAACTACCAACATTAAGGCAACTTAAAAATGACTTTTTGTGGTTGTAACTTTTCTTCAAACCACATCCTAAAATACGAAATAGCATTGTAATGAACGTAGGAATTCAAAATTTTCCCTGGCGGGAAGGGGGCCCCACCCAAAAATCCCCTAGATTCCCTTGCATTCAAAATACCATAAAAATTTTGCTCCCCACCCAAAGTTAATACCGGCCCTTGCTACGCCACTGTGTAAAAATATACGAAACATATTATTTTATTACTTCGCGTTTCTTATATCACTTTTAATACAAAACAACAACATATTAAACACATACTTTATACGTCAAAAGCTTTTGGATTCAAATTGAATTTTGCTTCACATTTTCTGCCCTAATATGAAAAATAAAGTTAAATTAGTTGTCAGCATTGAACTAGGAGTGTTTTAAAAACATATTTTTAATCACTTCTACAGAAATATCAAAGAATTTAAGACCATCGGATCGAAAGCCCAAAGCTAGGTGCGGCCGAAATTCGACTCGGTGCTTTTACAATCCCTCCAATATCTTTGCCATCCTTGAGATACGTGTATTTATTTTAGCTATTTTCTCGCGCAAATATACGAAACAAAGTATATTCATCGTTATTTTTGGCTTCTTATATCACTGTGTTACTAAAAGAACAAAACAACAACACCTACTTCATTAGGTCGTCAGGTCAAAAGCTCTTCGATTCCAGTTGAATTTCGCCACATTTTCTGCCCTAAAATGAGAGATAAAGTTAAATTAGTTGTCAACATTAAACTGGGGGTGTTTTAAAAACATATTTACAATCATATTTAACAAAAATATCGAAGAATTCAAGCTCACCGAACGACCGAAGCAAGGCGCCTTTGGCTGAAATTCGATTCGAATTTGCCTCGCTAACTTTTAATCTTAATCAAACACTATATCTAAAAATACACACTTAAAGTAAAACAGAAACGTTTACTCACCTTTTAACTTTTATTAGAACCATTCTAAGACAGTGCACGGTTAATAGAACTAGTTCTATTAACCGTGGACAGTGTAAGATCTATAAAATTCTTCAAAAACGTTCACAAAATTTCGATAGCCCTCGTGGTGATCAGGAAGGCTCGCCGCTGTTTTAAAATAATTAAAAATTGCCCCGGATATACTCCATATATACTCCTAATACTCACGTGCTATATTTAACTCATTCCTATTGGTCGGATTTTAGTACGCTCCGATTGGTTCGTATTCAGCGTCGCATTTTATGCAAATTAAATCAGAGCAACATAGCAGAATATCCAAGTCAAGATCATTCTCAACGCCCAGTTTATAATTTTTTGCACCTGTCAATGATATATATTCTCTTAGTTCTAATCACTCCGCATATTTTCAGTTCTACAATGTTGTAATCTCGGCTGATGAGAAAGATCGCGACTCAATCTTTACGACCGTTGAAGGGGCAGTGTCAGGATTCTACTGCGCATCGATTAATCAACAATTAATCAAGTTAGGAGTGAAATACCATATACTATTTATAATCCCTTCGTTATGCTGGGCATCCTTGCTTTGATTTAAAAATTGAAGGCTGCTGCAGCTTTTCCAATTTGCCCGATAATGGAAAGGCGATGCCTGCAGAAGAGGCTAGGGAGAGAGGAAAACGAGAAAAAATTCTTTGTTGGGCAGTCTCATTACACTGCACTGTACGAAGGGCCTGCGGAGGAGGCAGGTTCTACCCCTATCCGTAGCTTTCCATTTGGCCGTTAGTTGTCGCTGGCAAGACAAGTGGTCGATGTGAAATAGTCAAATATAATAGTAGTCTTTTGTGTGCTATATGCAAATCAGTCTTAATGATTGCAGAATTTTATAAAGTTTTGTTGACGCTCTAATACATCAGTGACTTGTCGTGACAGGGACAACTAACGACGAAATGTAAACTAGGCTTTTGTACTTACACTGTCAATTCAAGATTACAAACAGTGTAGAGATGTGCTTACTGATGCGTATATTATGCAATTAAACTGAAAATTACGTCATGTTTTTAAACGGAAACGATCAACGAAACAATGGCACGCCAAAATATTAGGTGCACATACAAGAAATATAGCTTTCTTTAAGGATTGCGGAGGTTTCGTTAAAATCTAGTATCACAAACGACTACAGCAGGTTTGTATGTAACGTTAAATATTTTGAATATAAGTACCTGCTAATCCCAGCCATTCAAGTCATAAGCATGAACAATTTCCAGCCTGTGTTTTAAAACATAACAAAATCTAACTTTATTTATTGCTCTGCCAGTTCTAAACTGTTCTTCTTAGAGGTCCAGTAAGGATCGTCTCTTATTGATCCAGTGTTACTACAGGAGGAAAGCTAAACGAAAATAACTTTATTTATACTGGATAGCTCTATCAGTTCTAAACTGTTCTTCCTAGAGGTCCAGCAAGGATCATCTTTTATTGACCCAATGTTACTACTGAAGGAAACCTAAACTAAACTAACTTTATTTACACTAGATAGTTTTATCAGTTCAAAACTGTTCTTCCTAGAGGTCCAGTAAGGATAATCTCTTATTGATCCAGTGTTACTAGGCTACAGGAGGAAACCTAAACTAAACTAACTTTATTTATACTGGATAGCTTTCATTTGAATCCTTTCCCCGCAGATATATGAATAGAATAAAGCAAGATGGGAAGAATTATTCTTTTACCATTGTTGAACTCTATATTCTTGGTTCATGAGATTTGCCTGGCCGTAAACAAAAACGGTAAGAGATGCATACGCTTTAAATTGCAATGATTTTCTCGATCTTCAATTTTAGTTTCTCGTTTTAGCCACATTAGATAGAAATGGACTCGTTGGAGCGATACCTGAAGAAGACTTGATATGGGTAAGAAAAATGCAAACAATTAAGTAAGAACGGACCTATTTTAAATGAAGAATACGTGAGAAACTTTAATCCTACGTTACACGTGTTTTTTTTCCCTCGCGCCGGCAAAGCAACGGCAGAGTTTTACAAACCGAGCATAAATTCATGATTTCTCGGCAGAATTTAGCGCTCCTAATTTGAGACACAGGTTTAAAAGTTTGATCATTATCAATGGGTAATTCCAGCTATAGCCTAAATTTTGATTTAGGCAAGAACAACAAAATGTATTACCACAGCTAAACAAAGCATGTTAAAATTAGTTAAAATACTCATTAATAATTCATAAACCTTGTGGCAAATCATGTCAGCCATAATATGTCACGTGGAGTGACTTTATGTCTGATAAAACACATGTGGCATTATATAATTGCTCATCCTATAATTAGCATGATTATATAATGGTTCATTCTAATTAGTATTCTTTTGTAGTCGTATTTTAGGTACTATTCAAAGCACTCGTTGTCGTGTTTTATCATATATATATCTGATAAAACACTCCTACTCTTGTTTTAAATGGTACTAACATTACAAAGTTTGGCCGCAAAGTATTGTAAAATGCGGAAAATATACACGTTTATATTAATTTGTATTACTCGCGGCAAAATGCACCACAGTTGGGCGGAAAGTGGTGCATTTTCCCGTACCTAATACGAGTATTAATATATGAATTACTAATTTAGATCTTCATTTTATGGTATACTAATACGATGCATTATATCTGTCAGAAAAAAGCACTTGCTTGCGAAGGTCAAAAACTCTACATAGAATGCCCAAAAATCTACAACAGAATTCAGGTCCGGTCCACATTCTACGGGCGCAAGGACGCGGTTACCTGCAAACACCCGGAACTGCCAAGCGACAAGATATGTGTTGACCAAAACGCCACCGTTAATAATATCGTCATGGACTTGTGTCAAGGAGAAGCCAGATGCGAGATTGCCGTCACCAACGATTTTTTAGCTCAGTTTGGAACCATCATATGTCCCAATGTTTATAAATATTTAGATGTTAAATACAGGTTAGTAGTATATTTCGCTTTCTCGGACCTCAAGCACTGGCGGATATAACTTAGTGGTGTCTAGCCCCAACTTAATGGTGTCTAGCCCCCCCCC